CTCTCTCTCTCTCTTTTTTTTTTTTTTTTTTTTTTTGTGTGTGTGTGTGTGTGTGTGTGTGGTGCGCACCCTCCCGTGGACAGGTTCCCTCGAGCCGTCGGTCCCACGAAAGGGTGTGACGGCCAGAAACGCAATTTTCCAACCCCCACGGGAGGTTCCGATTGCCAGGGCCACCCCCCTATGCCACCGAAACGGGGTTGCCCCCCCCCTTGCTTGGCACAGCTCCTTTTGGCGGGGGCCACTTTACCCCCGTCGAACTGGGGGTAGGACAGGGATAGGGCGGGGATAGGGCGGAGGTAGGAAGCTGCTCTAAGGTTAGAGCAGGAACCCCCCTTCTACCTTCCGCCAGACACTCAGACCACAACGTGGACACAGCAGCAGCTGCGAAGAAGGACAATGTCATGCGAAGCAAGCAGGGCGGGAAGCAGGGCAGTGGGCGAACACAGACAAAGGCAGTCTACTCATCCAACACGGAGAAAAGAGGCACATCAGCTTCTCACATCAGGAGTGAGCCCCACAGACTGTTGGTGAATATGGAATATGGTCGACCGGAGATGACAGACGTCCGTCGGAGTGACTCCGACGGACGTCTGTCATTTCTGGTGGACCATATTCATCACCACACAGACATCACACACAGAAGCTGAGAGAACGGCTCCCCCCCTAAGAGCCCTGCAGCCTGAAGGCAATCCAAACAATGAACCACCTGACTGCTTTTTTTTAGCACTTCTTGAAGGTGCACGCACTCAGTAACACACAAAGCCCTTCGAAACTGTGTAACACCCCGTACAGATACGGGGCGTCCGTACGGCCCATAGTACCCCCTACGGCCGTAAGTACGGGCTCCCAGGCCACCGTACGGGCCGTACGTCCGGTCGTAAGCGCCGTTTCGGCGGCCTTCCCGGGGGGTTTCTGACACATGAGGGGGTGGGGGGGATGTGCATGCCGGGGGCTACCCGGGCCTACCCCCCTGAAGTAAAAACAAGAAAAAAAAAATTGTTCCTTTGGGGGGTGGGTGGGGGTGGGGGGGGTGCTGGGGTTTCTGGAAAAAAAAAAGAAGGGGGAACTACGTTTATGTCACATGGGAGTTCGTAATGGGCAGAAAAAACAGGCATCGGCGTCTGTGTCAGGGCCTGAGTTCGAAAAGGCATTCG